TACAGACAAATGCTGCACTCGTCTCACTCTTTTGTCTTCTTCATCCATAAAATCCTCAGGCCGACTGCCGAAATAAACAGCGCGAGAAAAACGCGAAGAAGAAAACTCCGCACATTTAAAGTCTGAAGTGTACATACACCTCAATTTAAACATTAAAAATAATATTTTGTCTAGAAACAAATCATTTAAATATTAAACAGAATTTTTTGTCTAGAAATAGAGTCATTATAGAATTATATTCAAGTAAAATTATGCAGTTTTATATATCCTTCATGATAATAAATTCAGGTGTATATACACCCCAACATAAACATCAAGAAACTATAAAATATATAAAAATATATAAATATACAAAAACATGTGTAAACATTTATTAACACACATGACTATGCTTATTTATTTATTGATGCATTTAGTTATTTATTTATACATTTATATTTATATTTATTTATTTATATCATTCAGCTCACCGCCTTCTGATCCAGCCTCTTGGAGATGTCGAGGTGCATGTACACCCCAGCTGCCTTTGTGTCTGCATGTTAACTGGGGTGTATCTTCACCTTCACTTTCTTCTTTTTCTCCTTCCCAGTAATATGAGGCAGCCATGCCTTTGGAGGTTGCGAGTTCGTAGCAACGCTCAGCTATACGTTTCTTTGCTGCTGCTGTTTTTGCTGCTTCTTCCGCTGCTGCTGCTGCTGCTTCCGCTGCCGCTACTGCTTCGGGGTCTTGAAATTCCTGCGTGCGGCCTGCACTTTGTTGCCGCTCAGCATTGGCAGCATCAGCAGCATCAGCAGCAGCAGCAGCTGCTGCTGCTGCCGTTGCTGCTGCTTTGTCTGCCTTCCTCAGAGCTTCCTGAGCGCGGCGTGCGTCTGTCTTAGCAGCACGTGCTGCAGCAGCCAGCAGCAGCTTCGGGGGAAGCCTCTCGGGCCCCCCCTCCCGCTTCAGCCATGGCTGCTCCCTATACACCTGAATTTGTAATTCATCGAGAGAAAGAGGGGAAATAGAAGTGCCCAGGAAGGAGCAGCCAAGGACAGGCGGCTCCAAGTGCAGCTGCCTCTCTCTCCGCATACCCCAAGAGAAGCCCGCCATCTTAAACCCTAAACCCTAAACCCTAAACCCTAAACCCTAAAACTCCCAGAAGGGGGCGCAATGCCTGTTGAAAGAGGAAAGGAGAGGCCATCAGAACACGGAAGTGTACATCCTCCAGCTGTCTGTACACCGCAACTCTTTCTCTCTTTGTTTCAAGTCCATGTCGCCTTCATCTCAGGTGTATATACACCTCAGAAGTTGCTGCGGCTTATTAAGGGAGGCCTCAGCCCAGGCCAAGGGAGGCCGACAGCTGAGCCCATGTTTGTGCGCAGGCTTGAGGAGAGGGTTATTCAGGTGTATATGCAGCTTATTTACCTAGTGGAAGGCAGCTGGGGTGTATGTACACTGGAAGATTGGAGGCAAATTGCATGCAGCCGCCGGCAGTTATGCCTGTAGTATTGTATCTAAGGTACGTATTTATTTATTAATGTAAATAATTTATTTAATTAAATTAATTAATTAATAACTTAGATTCAAATTTAGTTTATTTTTCTCTCAGGAGCCGCATGCAACGCTCACCTCCACCGGGGGCCCCCTGCTGCCTGATTGGCGATGGCTTCTTTTAATTCAAAATGGGTTTAATAAACACTAAATAAAATAAATAATTATATTTAATTTTATTCTTTAAACTCAGAAATCTTTTCGCCTTCTTTTTGCCCAAGTGTACAGACACCCGCCTGCGCATCTCCAGTGTACAGACAGCTACGCATGCAAACCTTCTTCTACTACAAACACCACTTAAGGGAAAGAAATAAAGCCAAGCTAAATTTGCTACTGTCAGCGCCCACCTCAACGTCAGAGAACCGATACACCAAGCACGCATGCCGCCTCCATCGAGGATTTAGGGTTTAGGGTTTAGGGTTTAGAGTGTGGGGGGTTGAGTTGCGTAGACGGGTCCGATGGATTATTTGTTGAGTTTGGATTCGGTGGGGGAGTGGGGGTCGAGTAAACGTGAAGAGAGCAGCAGCAGCAGCAGCAGCAGTAACAGCGGGAGCAGCTGCAGCAGTAGCAGTAACAACAGCAGCAGCAGCAGCAGCCACATAGCTTCTGCTTCCCCATGCAGTCGGGTGTACAGGCTGCTGATGCAGACAGTGCAGCCCGAATGGCATTCGCTGCCTGACCCCTCATCTCCTGAATGGTTGGAAGCATTCAACAGCCGCGTCGCAGCAAGGGAGCCTCTCAGCTCTACTGCTACTGCTGGTGCTGCTGCTGATACTGCATCAGCAACTTCATCAGCTTCCTGCGTCTCTGCCGCTGCAGAGGAAGCATCAGCAGCAGCAGCCGCGCAAGCGCATGCAGCAACGCCAGCACCAGGCACACCACCGCCAGCAGCAGCAGCAGCAGCAGCAGCAGCAGCAGCAGCAGAAGGGGGTCTTGCCTCCTCCAAGGAAGGAGCAGATTCTGCAGCTGACGTTGATTATGTTTGTTCTCTCCTTGATTGTTTTTGTCCCCGCGAGCAATTTTTGCTGCTGAGCAAAATTGCAAATAGAGTGGTGAGATACTCTAGCCCCTCAACAGCTTCTTGTTGCTGCTGCTGCTGCTGCTGCTGCTTCTAGTGCAGCTGCTGCTGCTGGTACGGCTGCTGGTGCTGCTAGTTCGGCTCCTGTTTCTGCTAGTGCTGCTGCTGCTGCTGCTGCTGCTGCTGCGGGCTGTGCTGCCGTTGGTATTCTCCTTGGGGAAATTAATTTTGTCTCATTTGCGGAAGTGCTGCTGCAGTCCGTTGTCTTGCTGCTGCTGCTGCTGCTGCTGCTGCTCCTTGCAGCGATGTGCATAGACGTAGGGGAGCAGCTGTCGTAGCGAGCCAATATATGCAACAGCAGCAGCAGCAACACCAACAACAGCTGCAGAAGCAACAGCAGCAGCAGCAGCAACAGCAACAGCAGCAACAGCAGCAGCAGGCTGGTTGTGTTGTGTTTGCTGCTTGTGCTGTCAGGACACCCCGTGGGTGGAGGCCTTACGCCGTCTGCGTGCAGTGGAGGAGTGCGAGGCATCGCGGCCTTTGGAATTAAATGAAGTAATTAATTACTCCAAGAGGTGCGCAGACACCCCACGTATATACACTGTGCATGCACCCCACACACACTGTACATACACCCCACACACACTGTGCATACACCCGACACACACTGTATATACACCGCATTTATGGTGTATATACACTGCGCATGCACCGCACATTCATTGTGATGCATGCTGTAGCGCTGGCTTGATTATTTCTTTCACTTTTCTGTTTTTTTAATATTATTATTATTAGTTATTGCTATTGTTGTGTGTATGTACTGCTGTTGCTGCTGTTGCTGCTGCTTTTTCTTTCGCTATTTTTGGTTTTGCTGCTTCTGCTGTTGCGCCGCTGCTGTTGCTGTTGTTGTTGCTGCTGCTGCAGGCTAGCAGGCTGCGTAGCGGCTCCTCCTGAGAGCAGCAATGTGCATGATGGAGTGTCTCACAGCGCTGCATTTCCTTGCTATCATTTCTTGCCCTATCCTTCTGTAGAAGAGCTGCAGGCCTCTCGCTTAGCTGCTTTAGCAGCAAAACCTTATGCAGATATTTGCTTCCCCCCTGAGGTGACAGCTAAAGTGGTGTACGTACACCGCGAGGCTGCCTACAGCTGCCTAGACACCCCACAGGGGTATATTCCTGCATACGATACTTCGCTCCTCTCTGCATATACCTGGCGTGCAGACAACAAAAAGGAATTATTTTTTCAATTAAAAATCACCTCACCTACTCCCTGCTGCTCCTTCTGGCTTGCCCTGAGGCCGCAGCAGCAACAGCAGCAGCAGCAGCAGCAGCAGCATGCTGCCAGCTACTCCTTCCAGCCTCTATCAAAATTCAAAAGACCTGTGCTCGTACCGGGGCCCTTCCCCACTACTGTGTTGGTACAATGCAGAAAAAAAGACAAAAAACCTTCGCGCATCACGCAAACCTGTCTCAGGCTTAAAGGAGCTGCTGCTGCTGCTGCTGCTGCAGCGGCAGTCCCGCAGGCAGCCGCTCCACCGAGGCCTGCTGCTGCTGCTGCCGCTCGGGGCAAGAAAGAAGGAGATACGCATGCAGCAGCAGACAGAGAGGCAGGGCTCAGGGCAACCAACGAGGTATGTATAACTAAATAGTTGCTGCTGCAGCTGCAGCAAACTCATTGCAGTAATGCGGTAGCAGCAACAACAAAACAAAGGGGAGCAGAGCAGGAACGGTGCAGACATGGGGCACTGGCTGCCAGATCTGCTGCTGCATGCATGCATGCATGCATGCATGCAGCAGCAGGGAGACGGTGTTGCATGCGTTTGCTAGAGTGGGGTGTATGGTCTCTTGTTGCAGGCTGCAGGGCCAGCAGAACATGCACGACCAGCAGCAGCAGCAGCAGCACAAGCCCCTACCTTGTCTCAATTCCACGGCCTTATGCTGGGCACTGCCAGGCGTAGGCAGCAGCAACGCAGAGAAGAAGAAGAAGGCAGCAGTGACAGCAGCAGCGGCAGCAGCAGCGATGGCGACTAAGTGCAACTCCCACGCAGCTTCCACCCTTCAACCAGCTAGCCAGCTAGCTAGCTAGCTAGCCAGTTAATCGTTCAGAGGTGTACGGATGTTTGGCTGCTCTTTTTGGTTGCGGCTTTGTCTCCTGCATATTTGTATATCTGTGCCTTGAGGCATATATATATAATATATATATTTAAGCATAATGGCATATCGTATACATATCTTTGTGCGTAAGGTATATACAGTGTACGTGTGCAGGCGGGGGTATAAAAGTATATGCATAACCCCCCACTGTGTCTCAAAGACTAAGGCACTGCAAGAAGCGCAGAGCCCACTGGTTAGTTAGCTAGCTAGCTAGCTAGTTAGCTAGCCACGCCCAAGCATCTACAGTGCAGCTTTGCTGCTGCGTGGTTGCTGCGAGTCTTACTGCTGATTAAGAGAAACAGGCTCACAGCGGCGGGGTGTACAGACACCCATTTTATTTTCGTTTGCAGGAGACAATGCTTTAAATAACGTAAAACTTTTGAAATTATTGTTTGAAAGGCAGCAGGCGTCCTAGTTAGCTAGCTAGCCAGCTAGCTAGCTAGAGGGCTCTGGGCTTGTTGAGGTGCTGGGTTGGCGGCTCTCTGAGTGCTGTCTTACAGACAGCTTCAGCCGCCTGTATCTCGACTATCAAGCTGCAGCAGCATTTTGCTGCTGCTGCATTTTGCTGCTGCATCAGCATTTTGCTGCAAGAGCAGCAAACTCTAGCATATTTTGTTGCAACTAGAGAGGTGTATTACTTTTTGAATTTTGTCTGTATATGTCGTGTCTGGCTCAGAGCGTCTTATCGTCTGACTATCTTCATTCAAACCATGTGTAGATGTACGTACACCCCAACATGCATGCCTGTACATCTTTGTATCCATACCCCTATTTACGCTTGCTTACGGCCTTTTACGTCTACACATATAGAATAATTAAAGAATATATAGTAATATAAAATATATGCATAGAATAACATAAGAATATTATATACATATATAATACGTATAATATATATATATATATATGCATGGATTCATCCATTCATCGTTCTTCTTTCGCATCTTATATAATAATAATATATATTAGACTTAATAAATATATTATAGATGATGAATAAGTAAGAAAGATGATAAATGTTTGTTTACGGCGTCACTCCTTTATTAGCATTCTGTACACCGCTCTTCGAAACCGTATCGACGGAATTCAAAAACTATAAAAGGAATAGGAATATACATATATATAGTATATATACATATATAATATATATATATATATACGATTAACCATAGGTAAATAAGTATATATATATATATATATATATATATATATGGCGTGACATATATATACATAGCAGAACAGGGCATATATATATAGGTATAAATATATTATATTATATATATGTACATGCATATACATATATTTAGCATGCAGCATAGTGCATGACGCTTCTCGGACTTAGCGTTGCACATTTTTTGTGTTTTGTTTGTTTTCTACTAAGTCGACGGATCTTTCTTGAGCGATATTGTGTTCTGCGAGTATTTTTTGTTGAGATGTTTGTGCCTTATGTCTATCGATTGCAATAAGAACTCTTTGTGCTCCGCTGGCCTCCACCTGAAGTTCAACAAATCTTTCTTTCGTTGCTTCTATCTCTCTAACGAGATCCTTCATATTTCTTATTTCTTTACCATTTACACGCCGCACAATGCTTGGCGGCTGTTCGTAACCCACAGATATCTCAGACGCCAATATCTAAAGAAACAAATACAAAAAACAAAGAGAAAAAATAATAATAAATGGAAGATTCATTTAGTGCAGGCACAAAACACAGCATTGGCTTATAGTGTATTAGTATAGAAATATATGAATAGAAATGTACATACATGCATGTATTTTATTTCTTTTGTAGTATATACGTATATTGCATATTTGTATTTATTTTAAATATTTATACATATTTTTATTATTATATTTGTTTACTGTATGCTAATAACACACGCAAACAGATAAACAAATGTGCACAGGTGAAAGGAATTAATAAACAGAACGGCGTCGGCAACCCACCAAACTCAAAACAACAAATTCATCTCCCTCTTCCTCTTGATAGTCTAAACGTTGAATGAAATATTCAAACATGTTAGGAACCTCCGTACGCAGCTTGGCAGTCTGCAGCAGCAGCAGCAGTAGCAGCAGCAGTATTAGCCCAATTGCAGCAGCAGCAGCACACCGAGCAAGGATTAGCAGCTCAAATGTGGGTTGTTTAAGGTTCTTTCTGCCGGAATACGCATATCCCTTTGTGTGTTGCGTGCCTGCAGCAGGTGTGCGTACACTCCAACGTGACGCAGCCAACCTACCAGCAGCACTTTGCTAAGAGGAGTGAAGACGAAACCCCCATATACAAAATAAGAAGGTCTTGTATCCCAAGTAAAAGGGGCTACTTTGAAGTTGGGCGTCATTAGAGGCACCTGCAGCACACAGCATCATCTTCCCCCGCATTGTATTCAATTTACTAGTCGTGTATCGCACTTCAAGGTGTACTTAGATAAGAGTTTGTTCTTGAGGTGCATACACGCATGGAATCTGCGATATATATATATATATATATATATTATATTTATATGAATATATATATATATATATACTATCTATATTGCATATATATAAGAATTGGGTATAAAGCAATCGCATGTAAGTATGTATTCATATATATATATATATATATATATAAAGAAGGAACTTACAGTTACTTTGATGACTCTTCCATCTCTTAAAACATACGCCCAGGTGTTTTGCCCGTTGAAGTGTTCAGTGATTACATAACTGAAGGCGACGCGTTCTAGGTTTCTGCGAAGCATAAAGAGAAGCAAGAAGCACATTGCTGCTGCAGTGCAGCAGAAGCAAACTCTAGCAGCGCAGATACCGCAGGGGGCTATACATAGACTCATTGGGCAAACTCAACAGCAAAACAAGTCAAAGGAAACAAACGAAAAAACACAAACAGTAAACCCACCGAAAAGAAACCGTCCCGTCATCCGCCACATCTGCAACGCAGACATCCCACTTCATTGTTTAGGGTTTAGGGTTTAGGGTTTTGTTTGTGCTTTCGCTACTAGGGTGGTTGATCAGTGTTAAGGTGCAAGGCCAGTGTGCATGCAGTCCTGGCGCTTGCTCACTTCAGCACTGAAGAGTGCGCGTTGTCAGGGTTTGGGGCTTAGGGTTTAGGGTTTACTGTATTTGCCGATGGAGAGGATGACGTCGCCTTCTTGAAACCCCAGAAACTCCTCTTCTTCCAGCAGACGAGGGTCAAAGTAAGGGTTTTCAACAAGTTTGCGAACAGGAGAAGCAAGCGCAACATCTTTTTCATCGGTTTTTTCTTTGTTTTTACCTGGTTCCTTTGGTAGTTTATCAGGGGCGTTAGACTGCTTCGCGTGCTGCTGCTGGTTCGCGCCTTGCTGCTGGGCTGCATCGCCATCATTTCGTTCTTTGTTTCCTCCCTGCTGCTGATGCTGCTGCTGCTGCTGCTGTTCCGTGTTCGTAGACGAAATATATGTTGGTTTGTTCACCTTGGCAGCTGCAGGAGGGTCTGCTGCCTCTGTTTCATTCCCGGCAGTATCGCTCTCATTAATCACGGGCTTTTTGTTTAATTTAATTGCATCATTCTTTTTCGTTTCTCTATCATGACTGTTGCGCAAGAGGCTCCTTATTTGGTGCAGTGTACTGCGGCTCCCTAACAGCTTGTGCAGAAGCGATTCCAGTTTCGTTCGCGCTGAAAGAAAGTCTTTTTCTTCAGTTGCTGCTTTTACTGCTGTTGCTGCTCCTGCTGTTTCTGCTGCTGCTGTTGGTGCAGTTATTGTTGGTGAAGCATGTGAGCCGGGGTTGTCAAGGGAGTGGTGCTCCGTGGCTTCTGTGCCAGCGCCATTTTGTTGCTGTCCATCTAACTTATTTCCTTCTTCCCGAAGATTCACCTCTCCGTTCCCAATTATTCCTTTTGCCGCCGATCTGCTGCTTGATGGCAATTCACTCTCCTCTTTATTTGCACGAGAGAACTCGCCGCCTATGAATGCAAACATAGAACACTACATCTCAAGCCCTTAACCCACGAACTACCAGGGTGCTGAAACTCTACGAGTGCTTCTTTTAGGGTTTAAGGCCTTGGTGTTTAGGATGTATGGGCTAGTGGTCTAGGGGCCGTGGAGGAAAACGTACTCTGAGCAGCTGCCTCGTCTCTCGTTGGTTCCGTCTCCGCATTGGTAATTTCTCCCTCTAATTTTACTTCATGGATTGCAATATGCACATCAATGAGGTCAGGAGAGTTGCTTCGAGTTGCTTGGTTCTGCTCATTTTGCCGTGTTTCTTCCTGTTGGCTTTCAGCTGAGCCTTCACTGTCAGTATCATTTTCGTTTTTTGTCGCATCACTCTTGGCACGATGTTCCTTGTGGTTTCGTTGCAGGTCTGTCGATACAGGGGCGGATGCAGCAGAACCGCGCGTTTTATTTCGATCTTGCAGGGCTCCCATGCGTTCCCCGCTTAAGGTCGGAAGGGAGAGCTGCTGCTGCCCGCTGCTGCAGCGGGTGCATGCAGAGGGGGGCCTGCTGGGCTTCCAGTTTTCGGGCTGCCAAATGACTCTTGCGGGGACCTCCTTAACATCTCGCTGCTGCGCACTGCTATCGTCTGCTTCTGCTGCCGGCTGTTCTTCAACAAGGGCCAGACGCGGCGTCTTCTTGGGCCGACATGCTCGCGTTTCAGAGTCCGCAGCTGCAGCTGGGGGAGACGGTTGAGGCACTGCTGCCCCATACTCGCAGTTTCCCCTCTCCTCCGGAAGTTGTTCATACCTTGAAATCGGCAACGCTATCTTCCCCTGCATGTATAGATTCGATCGGAGTTTGTCTACAGCCACCACCAACACGCCCGAGGCCGTCACGTTTTCAGGCAACGCTTCTGGCGGCAAAGTGTGCAAGCCTTTAAATTGCTTCAGTGCTGCACAGACATAGTAGCACCCATATATATATATATATAGGCCAAGGGTTGGAACTACGAACAACTCTTTGGCTTCGGCTTTGTGTGCGCTGCACATGCGAACAAGATTATGTCCAGCCTGCCTTTTACCTTCATTTTCCATTGCTTGCGCTTTGATTCCCATGGAGACGATGCCGGTGTGTCTTCTGTGCAAAGCAATATCGTTTAAAAAATGCCGAATCACCGGGAATGGTACTATATAGCCAACATTTTGCATTTCGCTGAAACCCTGAAATGCAACGCCAACCACCTTCCCCCCTGAAATTGCCGGACCCCCCGAGTTTCCTGGGTTTATCGGGGCGTCAATCTGAACTGTCAGCAGCCTGAGACAACAAGCAAACACCAAGAATAGCTCCTCCTGTATCTGCACCTCTAGCCCGATCGAACCATGTGAGCACGTCCCCATCCCCTACTGCTGCAGGCGCTACTGCAAGTGTACGTTGCTGCAACGGCAGTCACAGCGAAAGCTGCAGCAACGTCATCTTCCAGGCACATCCGCAGCGTCATGCGCAGATGAGCTGAGTCGAGCAAGAGTGCTTACTGCTTACCCGAGGTAAGAATGAGCATATATAGAAACCCCCACCCGACTGACAACGCCCTCCGTAATACTCAGCTGGTCGCCTCCCGTAGGGTATCCGAGCACAACGACAGTTTCCTGAAAACGCGGGGCACATTCTCACATATGCATGCGTGAAGTAATATTCCAATGCTGCCACAGTCCCCAGGTTGTGCTTGCAACGCAGATTTACCTTCAGCTCGATACGGAGCGTCACTTCAGAATCAAGTTTTCACGTAAAGCATTGCCTCCTTAAGCTCACCCCACAATTTAAATAAGCCCATTTCCGGTGTATTTCCGGTGTTTTTCATGTTCTGTTTTCGGTGCACTTCAGTAACGGTCAAACTCTTATGAGGTCACACTTTTTGCGAGTTCGCTTAACAAAGTTCAATTTAGCTCCTGAGCTTACTCGCAGCTGTGGAACTCCTCCGAAAGCCAGCGGTTGCAGCCCGCGCCAGAACACTTCATCATCGACCGTCACCAATGCCAAGTCGCACTCGTGACAAACAGCAATGACTTTTGCGAGAAAACGCTTGGGGTTGCTGTAAAAATGAAAACATGCAGGCTACAATAAGCGTCTCTCACTGAGACTGTTTTTGTGAACTGCTAAAAAGTCGTCTTGCGAAGCTATTATCTTTTGAACTATCGGATAAACTGGAAGTTACGGTTCCCTGGTTTGGGTTCCCCATAATTCCCTGTTCTGCTTTTCGTTGTTTTGTGAATGGTCAGCCTCTTACCCATGTTTTCTGACGAGCACTCGAGTTTGGTTCGCTACGAGGTGTGCGTTGGTCATTATCATTTGGCCCTCCACTACAAATCCCGACCTGCAAAAACAGCGGGAAAATGCACCTTCAAGTGCGAAAAAGCTGTAAATCTACTACTACGCCCTCCCTAGAAGATAAAGATATACATATGGAAGCCTGCACTATATCATTGTCTTAATTCGCTGCTTTTTATGGCGGATTTCTGCCAGACCCGCTGTGTTCCTTGGGTGCCATCATCTGCCAAGGGGAAACGAAATCTGCCTTCACGGTATCAACGAATATCTTCACGACGCTGGCGAGCTCTTTCATTTCGGAAACATGAAGGGGAACTTCCCTCCTTGGCTTCTTCTGCGTGGTGGCAATCTGCTGCGCATCATTTGCTCGGCGCGAATCCGGTGCTGCGACAGGAACTACAGAGGCGTCCCCATCCTCCGCAAAAGATGTTTGTGGGGGTGTGGAGTGTAGTAGGTTGTCGTATTCTTCTGCTCCTTCGTCTGTACGTCCAGCCGAAAGAGCCCGAGGCACCCCGTCATCATGAAGCCGCAGAGGTGAGGTGCTGGTGCCGGCGACTGCAATCGATTCGAGGCGGTAGCCCTTGACAGCGATAGCGAAGAGAAGCGGAATCGAAGAAAGGGCTATTTTTTTCATGCTCATTATTTTCGACGTTGTCGCGAATTGGTTTGGCCATTGAGGCGGCATCGAGTGCTGCTGAGTTGTCCTGCAGCACTCAAGTAGCAAGAAATACAGCTAGGCTACTGTTAAAAAAGGCCTTTCTTTTCTTAGAGGGTTCTTCTCTTGCGGAAACTGTTGCCCGTACGCTCGAGACACAGTTTCAGCCGCCCTGGTCGGTCCGCCGCCCTCCGCTAGACCATGCTCTCCTCTCCTCAGGCAGAAGACATCATGCGCTGAAGCGATACACTGCTGCGCAAAACTTCAGTCGTAATCATGAACTTCTCAAGTAAATAGAAAATATTAATGAACTAGTTCCTTTTTTACTGGTTCCCCTGCATGCATGCACGCGCACTCTCATGTTGACGGCTGTTCGTTCGAGAGCCGTGAGGCCATCGAGTGGTCCGTTCAGGTTCAGGTTTGTTATCATGCATTGAGGGCTAGGATCAGCAAGAAACCCGCATGCATTCAATTACATACAGCGAAACCAAAAATCAACAAATCGAAGTTCTTTTCTACTTCTTTTTTGCATGTTTCATAGCAATTTTGCTGCAACCAGTAGCGCTCCTGGGCCTGGCGGTAAACAATTGGATTCAGTCGGTACATTTCTGTGAATTTTGAATGTACAGATACTGTTTAGCTGAAGATATATAATTTGAATTGTAGAATATTCTTTTCAATTTTCCTCGTCGGTCTGAATCGTTCCAGGCCCCTAGCTGAAAGTTCACGGTTATTTCGCCGGCTAAGCACAACACACCTCCAACGCAACAAGCCAATGGAAAAAACTCTCTTATTAGCAGGGAGCTTGATTCGGCAGAAACAGTTCAGTTTGTCGTGCTTCTTCTGTCTATTTTTTTCTTGTTGCGAAGTTTGAAGATGAAGCCGCCGTTACAGTACGAGCGAAATTTGGTTGTCCTTAAGTTGGGAATCTGCATTGAAAAGAGTAGAGCAGAGCACATAAGGAGCGAATCGAATAACCTCTCTTTCCCATTTTCCGTTGAAATGCAATGCCAAACAACATCGTTTGGCTGCACTAATGTTTCTGCCGTCGAAGGACTATTGGAGACTTCTGTGTTAAGTGCACGAAAATAGGCGCATGGAATCCAGTGAGTTGTTGAATATCGTAGAAATTCTGCCGGTTTTTCCTTCTGGCAACAACACTACATGGGCACGCGTGTAGATCGGAGGACAAATATACAATAGACGAGTCAGCTCAGCATGTTGTTCTTCCACATCTGCAGAAATGGAAGAACAACGACCCTTTTCTTCGGCCCCGGCTTTGGCATACAGGATTATAAGCAAAATTTTGCTTTTAAACGCAGTTCTAAATCCGTCGTAGTTCCATTTTCGTTTGTGTTTCAGTCTCCATTTATGCAAGGAATGCAACAATTTCCCATTGTTGCCTATCCTACACTGCCGGCTGCAACCAAATAATTAAAATAATTCAGTTTCAACGTGAGTAGAATTAACATGCTGTAGGTTGACTCAGCAGCACTATGGGTGCAAACCTACACCCACACATGCAAGCGAACTGTCTACAAGTGGTAACTGACAGCTGCCGATAATTGACGCCCCAGCGTCATCAATGCAAATAGAATGATCTTTCCTTGAGCACTTCAGCATTATGGAGTTGTTTCGTTTTTGGCCCATATGTTGTGGGGGAGACCCACCGTCTTTGGGATGGCAACACGTAGCATGCTCTGTGAAGAGCTTTCACGCGTACTTCTACTCCCCCGTAGTGGCAGGCTCACTACCGACGGCAAAGAAGGATTTGACGTCGCAATATGTAGCATGCCCTGCGTAAGATTGTGTAGCGTGCTCTGCGAAAGCTTTCCGCAGAGCATGCTACATTCTGCGACTCGGTAGACGGTGCTTGCGCATCTAGCAAACAGAGCTTGGGCATGCATGCATTTGGAGTTGATGCAAGGGTTGCTACAGCGGATGACAATCCTCCTCCCCTTCCCATCAGCCTGACGCGCTTGTGCTACTGTTCCGAGGATGCGTAAATACTCAAGGGGAGGAGATCAGCTGCCTATTGAGAACACTCATGTTAATTAGGTGGCTCCTCTTTGCAGCTCACGACGGTTCTCAGCTGAGATTCAGAACGCCCCCCACAATGGTGCTTGGAGGGTAGAGTACCAAGTAGAGTTCAGCTGTTCTTCTGTTATCAGTAACACTGGTTCGCACTGAGCTTCCGATTGCCCACTGCATTTTTACAATGCTGTCGGTACTAGTTGTATGCTAAGGACTTCGTCATCGTCAGGACGCAGAAGACGGGAATCATTTCCCAAAGCCACTTGTTCAGAAACAAGGAGGCCCGCACCCCACGGATTTTCAACAGTTTCGTACTTTCCGTCTAATACAGCCCCTTCTGGGTTCTTAAAAACGGGTAGACCCCTCTAGCTCTTACGCGAAACCCCTACCTGGCTGTGCAGGAACGCCTCGGCCTGCAACGCTGGAGCGGAATCCTCGAGGCTTCAACTTCTAACGGCATTCTATGGCGGCGGCATCTCCCGCGACGATGACGTCTTCCCCCGGCACTTGTAGCTCTCTTTCTTCGTCTTGAGGGCACGACCGGTCACCGGCCAAGCTTCGCCCACGAAAATTACGTCGGCCTGCAGGGTTGACAAGAACTCGTAGTAGTCCCATGCCATGCTGGCCGCGTTAAGGTGCTTTCGATAGGTGGGGGCAAATATCTCACGGACCTTCATGAACATCGTTAGTGCAGCGCTGAGAATGGGTTGTTGCTCAGGCTCGCGCAAGGCCCAAAAAGCAAAGAGGGCGGCCAGCACGTCGGCTTGTAACAACGTTCCCTTCTTCTTAGCAGCCTCAATAAGGATGCGCGCCCACCCCTCGTGTGTAGAAGGGGTCCTGAACCACCGAGTCGAAGAGAGCTGCCCGCAGGGTCACTCGTGCGATGGCCGCGTTTGCGTGCGTATCGTTCTCGGGGATCCGGTCCCCTCTTGAGCTTTATTAATTGAACAAATTGTCTCTGAGGAAGCGGCTAAGCCTGAACTGGCAAGCCTCTACGAAACTACTTCCTCCACCCGCGCAGTCTTGCGAGCGGGGGCCCGTCCACGTTAACGTCCATGATCACCCCCTCACAAATCCCTAGGTACATCTTACTCTCCAGCCAGTCACTAAGATAGGGATCGCATCTAGACCCTGTAAAACTAGCCGTAGTGGACGGTGACCAGTTGCTAAATCTCTTTTTAAGTGCTTGAGTGATGGGGAGGCGTATACCATGAAGGTATGGCTGCTCCTTGGAGATGGCGATTCACGCTATTGTCCTAAGCCCCCAGTATACCCCGACCGCCTTCCGCCCGGCCTTGGTATCTTTGACCCAGGGTAGTTGCCATCATTCCGCATCCTTCTTCCGAAACATCGCCGCATGCATCGACCTGCCCCCCAGCGTCGGCCATTATTAGAAATGGCCATGGAAGGCGAAACGGGGGACCCTACATCACCCAGTCCTTCCAATACTTACTCCGCAGTGCTTGATAAAGCTCATGCAGATACGCCTCCAGCGGTAGGAGGAGGGGGCAAAGAACTGCACAAGTAGCGCTAACGTATACGCGTCCCGTTTTGTGGGGTGTTCTCGTAACTGCTGCCAGGCCGACACCATGTATAACATTGATTTCTGCCGGA